TTACAGTACGCAGTAGAAAATTAACCAGAAACCCGTGCTGACCCATTCAGAGTTCTTGTCATCCATGCATTACTTTGCGTCAAAAAGAAAAATGAGGCGATCCAACACGAAATTCAAAACCCAGTCAAGGCACTGGGCTCAACTGAGTGGCTAGTGGTCAGTCTTTCGTGTTCAAACCACGGTGTCTTTAGAGCTTGGGGCCAAGTCGGTCCAGCACAGATCGCTTCTTGGTTGTAGGTTCACCGGATCCCTTGCCTCCACGATCGTCGCTTTTCTTGCGAGGGGGTCTCTTACGGTCGTTACCGCCGCTTTTGCCTTCGCCCTCCACCTCAATCCGTCGCTTGTCATCATCACCACCACCTCCACCACCACCGCCACCACGACGGCGGCGGCCTCCACGAGAGCCACGCGAGGATCCGGACGTTGCGGTAACTACGCGTCCACTGCCGCCGCCATTCGAGCTTTTCGATCCCTTCTCGCCACGACGCTCCTTCTCAGCACTACGACGTCGTTTCCGGTCCCCACCTGCGGTATTATCGTCGCCTGCAGCATCACGGGCGCGCTTTCCTTCCCGTTCTTTGCGGTCACGAGGCCGGTCGCGCTCTTTGCGATCTTTTTCGTTAGTCTTCTCACGATCACGAGGTCGGTCTTTGTCCCGCGCACGGTCACGCTCCCGGTCGCGCTCCCGGTCACGATCACGCTCACGGCCGCGGTCTCGGTCTCGATCTCCGCCGCTACTGCGTTCCTTTGCACGCGATGAAGAGCTGCTGTCCTCCGCGCGTCGACGAGATGATTCTCGCGACGACCCACGCCGAGTCACCGATCGCGAACGTGAACGACTGCGGCGGCTACGAGAAGAAGACGCTCCTCTCTTCTCCGAAGTTGAGCCGCGGTCACGGTCGCGCTCACGGTCGCGGTCGCGGTCACGTCCACGGCTGGAGCGGCTGGGAGATCCATCGTGCTTACGAGAAGAGGAGCGACTGCCATTGCGTTTGTCTTCTTTCTTCTCACGATCGGTACGAGAACTCCTCTTGTCATCATCACGAGAACTCTTCCTGTCAACATCACGGGGACTCTTCTTATCATCACGAGAACTCTTCTTGTCATCACGAGAACTCCTCTTGTCATCGCGAGGACTCTTCTTGTCTTCATCCTTAGCCTTTTTGCCTGTCATGCTTTCATCGCTCTTCTTACGGTCCAGCTTAGCTGGGGTAGCAGGAGTTTCATTGTCGCTCTGCATGTCTTCATCCATCGGTTCAGCCAGAAAGTCAAGGTCAATGGCAGGCGCAGCGACCTGGTCCAGCTTGACGTCTTTAACGGTGCTTTCTTGTTTCTTCTCTTCTTCTTTGGGCTTTCTCTCTTTCTCACTAGAAGTTTTCGAGTCTTTGTCCAACTCCTTCTTCGAATCCTTCGAGTCTTTCGAGTCCTTGCTTGACTTCGCATCATCGCGGCCGCTTTTGTGCTCACGGTGATGGCGGCCACGGCTTGTACTACGGGACCGACACGATGATGAAGCCCGTGAGCTTGTGTGCTCACGAGTCTTCTTGTCTTGTCTAGAGCGCGAGTTGCTGCGGCTGCGCGATCTCCCGTGGGCTGGCTTGTGGCTACGACTACGACTGCGACTCCGACTGCGCTTACTGCGCTCTCGTTCTCGGTCGCCACTGCGTGAACCACGCGAGTCCTTGTCCTTGCCGTCCCGACGATCGCGTTCGCTTTTCCCATCACGGCCAGTAGAGCGGTCGCGTGCGCGTGAACGATCCCTATCGCGAGAAGTAGAGCGGTCGCGTCGCCGGTCATCGTCGCGTCCACGAGGTCCTCGTTCTCCATCATACCAGCGATCTCCACCGCCTCCGCGTCCTCCAAAAGGCATCGGGCCATCGAACCAGGGCGGGGGAGGGCCAAAGTAGTCTGGGTGTCCAGGAGGGGGCCCAAAGTACTCTGGGCCCGGTCCTCCAAAGTAGCCTGGAGGAGGCATTCCCCTGCCGCCTCGGCCACGGCCACCACGGCCGCCCTTACCTCGCCCGCCAGGGCCTGGGAACGGACCATCGAACCACGGCCCAGGCGGGCCATCAAACCAGGGGCCAGGTTGGCCACGCGGACCGTCAAACCAGGGCCCAGGCGGGCCATTAAAGCCCATTGGGGGGCCACGCGGGCCATCAGGGCCCCACGGCATTTGATGTCCAGGAGGACCTTGGCCATTTCCAGACGGCGCTCCTTGTGGGCCTACGCTGGGCGAAGTTTTCTCTGCGTTTTCGGTTGCTTGGCCACCATTAGAGGACGCGTCGCTTGTCTTCCGCGAAGGATCAGCAGCTTCGCCCGCTTTCGTTGCATCGCTCTCATTCTTAGGAAGTGGAGGCTGTTGTGCTGGCTGTGGAGGAGACGCCGACGCTGGCGTAGTAGACTTTTGCGGGGACGACGCTTCTTCATTCTCGTCGCCATCGCCGAAAATGTCGCCTCCAAACTCGTCTTCTTCCTCTTCCTCGCCGTCACCTTTCTTGCCTTTCTTGATCTCCAGCGTCGCATCTGCGCTGTCTCCTGAGCGACGTGTAGCTGAGCTGGCCGCCAATTCTGCTGCCTTCTGTTTGGCTAGTGCCTTCTCCTCCGCTTCCTTGACTAACTGCTCGCGCTCTTGTTGCTCTGTCCGCGCACGCCGCAGAAACTCGTCCACAGACGTCCGCAACACCTTGTTCGGCAGCAACTTCTCAGGCGACATGTTGCTCACGTTACACAGCGGACACGTAAGCTTGCGCTCGATCAGCGCGCTGCGTAGACATTCATCACACGCCGACTGCAACATAACACAACAAGTGAACCCACAGTTAGTCCCCATAACCATCGCAGCTAGCTGGAACTTGGACAACTCCTTACCTCTTGGCAGCACGGGATGAGCACGGCGTCGCTCATGAGCCGTCTGCAAAGGGGACATGCCAAGTGCTCGGGTGGATTCGAGATGAATTGATCCAAGGTGGCCGAGCCGCCCGACCGGGCCATTAATTTAGAGAAGTTTTTATTCTGCGGTTCTATCACAGCTAGCCCGCCCCACGGCGCGTTCACTACCGTTTTGCCCGCGCCTACGGGGATCTCGCTGGGATCGCTCACGGCCTTCATGAAAGACTTGGGAATGCCAGTTTTCTTTTTCACTCGGTGCTGATCAAATTCCGGATCCCCGTTCGTGGGGCAGTTCTGGATATAGTGGCCGGGCGTGCCGCATCGGTAGCACACGTAGTTGGGTGGCGGGTTGCCCAAAAGGTTCGGCGCGCCGGGGGCTCCAGGACCGGCGCCACGGCCGCCGCCTCTTCCATTCATCATTCCTCCTCGTCCGCCAAATTCTCCACCGCGGCCGCCACGGCCAAAGCCCCGGCCGCCGGCGCCACCTCCTCGTCCACCGGCTTCTCCACCTGGCCCATTGGCCGAGAAGTAGTTCATCACATGATTGGCGTTGCTGCCGCTGGACGCTGTCCATGTCTTATTGCCCAGTCTCGAGCCACGCATGTCTTCAGCTTGTTCGTGAATAGATTGTAGAGCAGCCAGCTCATCCTCCATCGTCTGGGCCCCTGCGGCCGAGTCTCCAGTATTCAACGAAAGTGTGGCCATTCTGTTTAGCACAAGAACGACACAAAGATACACCAAAGGCACCACAGTATCAGCAACAACGTCAGCCATTAAACAATATAGAATAAATAAAATAATCTAAATAAACTCTAAAGGCCACGTACGGCTGTGTGGGGGTGGTCCCGACCGGCAGCACGGGGGACGGGCCGGCCATGGGGGCGACGGGAGGCGACGCGTGGATGGCCGCAGCGGCCGCCGCGGCCGCAGCCACGGCCGCCTCCTGCTTCATTCTGGCCAGCAGGCCACTGCCTGGCTGCTGGCTGGGGATGCGTTTTACAGTCACACTGGTGTTCCGAGGTAGCTGCGTGTTCTCGTCGTCGTAGACCTTGCCGTTCTGCGCGTCCGTGATCACGAGGTCGAAGTCCAGGCCCTTGGCCAGCTTCTTCTTGTCTACGATGGCCTTCTTCAGGTCCAGCACGCGGATCACGGCACCTGGGAACGTCACCGTGTCGAACTCCTTGGCCGACTTGAATTTAAAGTGGATCGACATGTTTTCGAGCGTTTAAAAGGGTGGCCGAGAGCAAATAAGGAATGTGAGCGGCACTGCACTCGCTGATCTACGCGATGAGCCCAGTGTCGATGCTCAGATCGGCGTGGAAGACGCGCTGCAGCGACGAGAAGAACGCCCGCTTGACGCCGAATAAAGAGCGGGACGTGTCGCTTCTGGAGCTGGTTGGTCAATGAGAGGGGGCTTCAGCAACCCAAACAATTAGGTTGTGTAATTTTATAACATCTAAATTATAATATCTTATGTTTTCATCAAAAGATAAACTAAGCCTTGGTTAGTATTTTATATTTCGATAACTTGCAGGAATCACTATTCGGAATGCAATTGCTGCAAGATCTCTCATCGTGTGGTATACATAACTTCACGTGGCATGTAAAGCGTACAATGCACCACTTCAACGTGCAACATGGCAAGCTCGAATCTACTCTACTCTTCCTCCCAGAACGTTTTCTTGGCGATCGAGCGCTTCTTGGCCCACTCAGAAGGTTTCTCGTTCGAGTAACCATTGTGGTTGGGCTTGCCCTCTCGGTACTTGTGGTGCAGGGGCCAATCGAACTTGCGACGCAGTTCACGGAGCTTAGCCTTGAAATCCTCCGACATTGGGGCGAGTTTAGTCGGATGCGGGTGCAGATTTCCGCGGTTGAAGACGATCTCATATTCCTCCGAGCTCTTCTTCACTCGACCAGTAATAAGCACCTCCAGCTTCTGCTCGTAGCATTCTACTGTCTTCTCGCTGCTGGCGAGCTGCTTCAACGCCTTCCAGAGCAACTTGTACTCCCGACTGGCACTGTCGCGGACGAGAGTAAGTTGAGCCAGGAACTCGCCCATGGACGAAGCCCGCGCGGTCTTCAGCGCCCGACTCCATCTCTGCTCAGCCGCTTCATTGGCTCGACGCTCACGCAGTTCTCGCAAGAACTCGTCGTACTTCTTACGTAGCACCTGCATCGCCAATGCCTGGTACGTCGTGCTATCAAGGCTTTCGTCTAACGTATCGTTTAGTTCCCAATTGATCTTCCCATCCGATGCAGAGTCACGAACGATACGGTATCGAGCCGATCGTTTCTGAAGTAGCAGGAACTTCGGCAGCTCCTCGCTGCAATTTGGCCAAAGCTCCTGGAGAGTAGGCACCACCTGTGTGTCGTCTCCATACTTGTTCGGTGAGACGGTGACACAGCGGACGAGGTTGTTAGCGCAGCGTTCAAACGCACGGAAGAATGGAGTCTGTACGACAAATCTCTGTGTCCTGTTGGGATCGAACTTCCATACATCCTGGTCCAGTGCGTGCGGGTCGAACGCGTCTTCCACTACGCTCTCGTGCGTGTACCCGACCATGCTCTCCACCAATGCCAAGTATCTGGCCTCGTTATACCGGATAAACTTGTGTACACGTGTAGCCAACAGCTCCTTCAGCACTGCGAGGAGAGCCTCACCGTCATACTTGTCTTCAGTGCGACGAAGCAGTCGGAACAGCAGCTTCCCTATTGCTGCTTCCGGATCCACGGGCATCGTTGGTAGACGCTCCGTTCCGCCCATAACAAGTCGAATCGAGTGCACCAACTTGGTCACGAGTTCCCACTGGAAATCGCTCAAGGGTTCGTCGCGCTGCTCGATCAGAGCCATCAACGAAGCTGCCACTGTGCCCCGGAACATGTTCGGACAGAATAGACCTGCTGGTGCACCCGAGAGCAGACCCGTGAGGATATCAAGCACCTGAGTGCCTGAAGCTGCACGCACGAGAGCGCTGCCTAGTGCGTCATCAGGGTCAGCCACGAGCTGTGCGTAGTTGTAGTCTCGAGCTCTGATACTCAGTCCTCCTGTGGCTTCCTCGCTACCGATGAGTGTCAAAAAATCCTTAGCGGTGACCACGTCCGGGGAGATCTTGGAGATGACAGCCGACCACGCGTCCATAAAGTCAGGCTTACCGTTCTTCTCCGGTAGCTGCAGCACTGCGAGGTGAGCGAGGAACAGACTGGCTACTGTCTGCAGAACTGTCTTTGGGTCAAACACATCGTCGTCCTCCAGTGCGTCTTCCGTCGCCTCCTGTGTCGTAAGCAGTGTGATGGCACTCACCGACGCCTCCAGCTCACTTGTAGAGCTGATCTTTTGCTGTAGCACACCAGGTAGTGACGCTGCAGTGAGCTTCAAGTGACTCTGATGCTCCTCCGGCATCAACTCACGGATCTTCTCGACGAGTGAAGTGGCTCGATCCAGTGCGTCATTGTATCCGAGTTTACCGGTTAGACACTGCGCGATAGTGATCAACAGCTCCACTTGTTCTCTCAAACCTGAAGCTGCGATCGCACGCTTGGCGAAGCGATCACCGATCACAACGGTGGCGCGATCTAGGAAGGCGAAGAGCACATCGCGCATATCTCCAGCCACCGGGAGGTAGTTGTGCATGACATCGGCTTCACATGACGGTACAGTGAACTCCTCCAGGTCGTAGAAGATGAAGGTGTCGAGAGCCGCATCATTCACAGTATCTCCCTCTGTGAATGTTCCTCCGGCACAACGGTCGAACATCTTGGAGAGGATAACCATTAGACCGTTTGCGAGCTGCTGAGCTGCACGCACCTTCGGTTCGATGAGAACTCCGTCGAACTTCTTAGCAATGCAACCGTACATGCGGTGGTCGCTGTTCTTGATGTACTTGACGATATTCACAATGAGGTTGTTCTCGAAATGGGCCTGAACCAAGGCGAGCACGTTGAACATGTCCGAGTCCATGATCGAGTGCTTCTCTTTGAGGTAATTAATTTCATGCTGGGCCTCGCTCGTCGTGGTCTCAGCCAGGAGATGCGGACCCGCGTCGGTGATCAGGAAAGCGATAGTGGGCATGGAGTTGTCTAGTGTCAGTAGCTCAGCCAAAGCGGCCTTCTGGTTCTCGTCACCGTCACCTCCGTTGGCATCCACGATAGGAATCCCAGGCGGCGCACAGAGCTGGACCGACTTGATGAATTCAATGGCTTCGTCTCCCTCCGTGAAGCTGTGGTTCGTCACGTAGCAGCCCTTCGAACTCTCCGTGAACGTGATGATGGTGATCATGACGGCGTACTCTTCTTCGAACACCGAGGCCACGAGATGACGCACAGTCTCCTTCACACCAGCCAATTCACTGCTCATGGAGCCAGTGATGTCGAGCAGGAACACCAGGTTGATCATCGCTGATAAGTGGGTAGTTGGTTGAGATGCTACAAGCAAATTGGAGAATGAGCAAAGGTGGTAAAGCTGAAAATTGCGAGACGTTCACTCACAGCAATGCCAAAGACAACGATGGAAAAAAAAACATCTGAGCCTGAAGACAACAATATCGTGAGACCAGTCGAAATGGGTGCAACTCACTTGTGTGAGTGATGGTCAACTTCAACTTGTGCCAAAACTTTTGGGGTTTTGCAAAACCTCCGCAAAAATTTAGCTTTCCTTCCTCGCGAAAAAACCGCAAAAATGGTCGAGAATGCTCTTGTGGAGCGCACGTACCAGGCGCTCATGGGTGTGGTTCAAACTACTGCTGTTAGCCGCAAAGTGCTGATGAGACCTCCATTCACGTTCCTACACAAACTACTGGTCGAAACGCTTGGCGAATATGATATCTTCTCAGAGCAGCAACTCCAGTTTTCTGCTATGGTTACCAAGCAGGCAAAGGTACAAATTAGTGCTAGTTATGACAAAGGAGTGGAAATTTTGTTAATTCCTCACTGTAGGCTGCTTTCCTGACCCGAGCGATCGCGTTTGTGTCCTTCGCGATGAATGCAAAGCCCAATAGTCAACACATTTCGTGTCTTCTACTCGTCAGTCCTGTTCAAGTTCTTGCAGGTGTTAGTGTCCACGACACTCTTGAGTTTCTTCTCCAACTCTGTGAAGTTTGTCGGATGACCAATCGCGATATTAAAGAAGCTGCTGCTAGAGAAGTGCGGGAGAAAGGAGATGCACATTTGTACTCCTCCGGTGTAACATTTCGCAAAGGGCTCGTGCTCATTCAAGGCATCATCCGCAGTTTTCTTAAACGTCGAGTGCGGAAGGCTCCACGACTCAATACGACGCCAACCCATGGCAAGGAGCTATCAATGACTGAAGGTACTCGATTTCTCAAAGAGTTAGCCGACGGTCGAGTGTACAACGGTATCATCCGAAGTGTGCAGAAGAACATCTACGTTCTGGGATATGAGGAAGAGGCTGAGGCTCAAGACAAAGTCAGTAAGTACCCAAGTGTTGAGTATTTGGCTTTGATAAAACTAGTAAACAATCACTTGTCGTGTGTGTCAGATGGTATCGAGATGAAGATCATTCTGGAAGAGTCTCAGCGTCTCAGTGGAGCTCGTGAAGGACTTGGACGCAGAGAGCGTGAAGATGTTGATATCTCACTAACCGACCTACCCGACTTGACTGATAGCTCTCAAGCGCCCGGGGTGATGAAACGTGTTTCGTCTCGAGACTCTGGAGAAGCTCTGCTCGTTCCGAAAACGAGCAAGTTGAACATGTTGAAGCGGTCTCACACCCAAACACAGTTCAACACGGAAATGGGACTGTTTAGTGTTCCATCGAGTGATTCCATTCTAAGCACAAAATCCTCGAGTCGGGGTTCATTCACCGATGAAGCAAAGGTTAATCCAAGCGGTAACCAAGCAGAGTTGAGAGAACTTCGAAGACAAACTTCAAAAACCAATGACTGGCAGAACTCTCTTAAGAAAATCCTGGCTGAGGGTAGAGACAACTCTTCCCTCGGCCCCGAAGTCGACGGTGATACCAGATCGCAACTTGGGACGCCACAAAAGAACGCTTTAGACACTCAGGACCGAAGTACAGCTCACGTTCCCAGCCTCCCGAAGCTTGGTATCCCGGGTACCAAGCCATTAGCCCCGCTAATCAAGCGAGGGTCTAACGGTTCAAACCCTTCAACAGAGACCAAGTCCATACCAAAAGACCAGGTGCGTTCTTCTCCATCTCAAGCCAGTGTCGCCCCCCAAGCAGCACGCGCATCATTGCAACGAGGCAATACCTCGTCCAATCTTCAGCGTTCTGTTGCAGCTCCAGTCAATGCGAGTGTTCTCTCTCCGTCTCCTTCAGTGCCTGAAGGCGTGGTGGACTCTGCATTTGCTGGCACATACCAGACGACAGACCAGCGTACACAAGAGAAGCAAGCTCTGATCCGAGACATTGTCATGCGTATCGACAGTTACATGAAGCGCAAGCGACTGCGAGTGATCGATCTCTTCCGCTTCTGCGATGCTGACGGCAACGGCAGTATCTCACCCGAAGAAATGATCGAGACGCTCTCGCAGATGGAAATCCAACTCACACCCGATCAAGCACGCGCGTTCCTTCAGCATATCGACAAGGACGGCAATGGATCGATCGATGTCGACGAGTTTGAAGAGCTGGTCCGTGTCTCCCGTCGCAACGAAGCTCAACGTGAACAACTCAAGAAAGAGCTCAATGGTTCTCGAAAACAGTCAGATAATAAAACATCCCAGAGACACAACGGCGTCGTGAAAGCCAAGGCAAAGCAGGCCATTCTCGACGAGTTCAAAGCTGTACAGGAGCAAGACGGCGACGGGATGACTGCCAACCAGTTACGCTCACTCATCGCACGTCTGTCACTTCCTGGAATCAACGACGCCTTCATCAACTCACTCGTGGACCGGGTAGTCGAGATTGCTGGAGCTTCAACGGCGATTTCTCCTCCTACGAGCTCTCAATCACAGACTCGCAGCTCAAACAAAAGCACCATATCGTACCATCATCTTACCAAGGCACTGGACGAACTTGAGTGGACCAAGAAGTCCAACCGCTTTCTTGATCCGTCTTGGATCCGGCAATTTGACTCCCAACTTGAACGAGCTATCCGCGAGTACGAGCTGCTGTGATCTGACAACACAGAGTGAGTGCTACACAACGGTAAACCAGTCTGCTACATTATCATAGATGCCGTAAAAGTCAAGACTTGTAGGGTGGATCAAACTCGAAACCTCGTAATATCTAACTACGCTTCCGGTGCGTTCGGTGCTTCTGGCAGAACGCTTGCAACTGTCCCCCTTCTTTCATAAACATATCGTATGCGCCTTTGGTTTCACGACCACACAACGGATGGAAGTACGTTTCGCAGCCACCGCGCATGCAATTGATGCAGCCACCTTCCTTCTCGCACAAGGCACAAGTCGAGCCCTTGAGCTCCTCGACGGCAGTAGCCACGTGTTTTACTCCACTCATGCGCTCCACATCGGAAAATTGAACACCAGGGGCCCACAGAGCGCACACCACGTGGACCCACTTGCCCTCGACTGTTTTCTTGAAGGCACTCTTCTGGCGCTTTAGAGGACACAACTCACACGTCTGTAATACAAAAATGCAGTCAGAATCACGTTGAGGAGAGAGGAAACCATCAAAGCTAGACATACCGCATCGGCTGATGGCCCGTTCGGCTCGGTACAAAAGTCGCAGAACCACGGTTCGTCTCCTTCGGGCACTGATTCAATTCCATAACAGTACTGTGCACATTACAGCGTTAGAATTGGACACATTGGACTCACAAGAGGAAGCATAAAACATACCTGGTGAACGGCGACGGAGCACTTCTCGCACTGTACGATAGGATCGTCGAGGAAGCCTTGGTCACTGAAGCATACACGGCACCACATCTCTTCGTCCTCCTGGGGATCAACGATGTCCTTTACAGCTTTCCGGGACTTGCCCGTTCTTGCCTTCTTGCGCGGGCGACCCCGGGGCTTTTCAGGTTCTTCGTCTTCCTCGTACGCATCTTCTTCATCTTCCTCGTCCTCAGAGCCGCTCAAGTGTTCTTCCTCTTCATGCTCCTCTTCTTCCTCTTCCTCAGAACCGCTTAAGTGCTCTTCTCCGTCGTCCTCCTCTGCCTTCTGCCTTTGAACAGGTTGTTTGCTTCTTGCTGGAGTTGACGGCGCATCAGCATCGTCAGGAGATTTATCGAGCTTCTTCTGCACCTTATTGATTCTGCTCGACACCTTTACGACACCGAAATCCTCGGTACTGTTCGATCGCTTGAGTGAGATGTGAATACCACTCACGCCACGTCCACTAGGTGACGAGCCTCTCGAGCTCCTACCACCAGACGCTTGGCGGGCTGCTTTCTTGCGCTTGGGCAGATCAATTTCGTCCTCGCCAAGTTCTTCGTCGTCACTCTTGTAACTCTTATGCTCCTTGCTTCTGCCATTCGCCTTCGGTGTCCGCTTGCGACGAGCGCCTCCCTTCTTGGTTTTAGGAGGCTTCTCCTTCGGTCCGTCCAGGAACTCCAGATACATCAGCTGGTCCCCAACGTCTTGGCTACGTCGACGTCTGGGTCGCTCAATCACCTGGAGCCACTCAGTGGCGACTTCGCGGACGTTCACAACTCCCTTGATTACGCAACCAGTGACCTTCAGCTCAATCAGGATCGCCAGCACTTGATCCGCGTCAGCTAGAGACTTGCCTCGTTGCCGTTCCTTAACAACAGCCCGAGCCAGTTCACGTAACTGCGATAAGAACTCCTTGACGTCGTCTTGTGAGGCTGTCTTGAGCCAGCCTTCTTGGACCTTCGTCATGAGCACCTGCACTGGCTTCGGACCAAGGACCTTCTCCCAGAACTTTTCGTCATTGAAATCGATTGTCGTGTCAGCAGATTCGGATGTGAACGTTGCCTTGGAAAACGACAGAGCAGAGGCTTGAGAAGCAGTTGTAGGCTTCGCATCGCTGTCGCCGTCCGCGCTGTTGTCCTCGTCTCCTTCCGCGTTCTCGCCAGATTTCGTAGGGTCATATCGAATCGTACGACTAGTTTGCAGCAGGTGATCGATATCCAGCTCATTGATAGCACGATTCTCGGGATCCTGCTCATCCTCTTCGCCCATGATAGCGTACGCTCCGTACCTGATCATCATCTCGACCTTATCACGGTCTAGAGACATCAGCGACATCATATTGCCACTACTGTCATCTTCACCGTCGAACTCATTGCGTACTCCACCAGTCTCGAACACAGCGTGGTGCATTCCGAGCTTCTTCGAAGCGATCTCAAACATCTGCGCTTCGTACGTTTTCTTCGTCACTAATCGATAAATGTTTACTGATTGCGTTTGTCCGATACGGTGACAACGCGCAACAGCTTGCAGATCATTCTGAGGGTTCCAATCGCTGTCAAACAGGATCACAACCGAGGCCGCAATCAAGTTAATACCCACACCACCAGCGCGGGTGCTCAACAAGAACGCGAACGTATCCGATTGCGGGTTGTTGAATCGGTCAATCGCCGCTTGGCGGGAGTTCCCGCGAACAGAACCATCCAATCGTTCCATGCTGTAGCCTCGTAGCTGACACATGTCTTCGATGATATCCAACATGATCTTGAACTGCGAGAAGATCAGCACTTTCTTCTTTTCTTGGCGGAACTTCGTTAGCAGCTTATCCAGCAACACAGTCTTGCCGCTTGCTTGAATCAAGATCTTCATTCGCAGTTGTTCATCGAAACCCGCGCATTCCTTGTCTTCCACGCCGCGAATCAAGAACGGATGGTTGCAGCACTTGCGTAGTTCCATTTCAACGTTCACCAGATTGGCGACTGTACCTGTCGCGCCCATGTTCAAGAACTGACGGTTGCGCTCAAAGATAGCACGGTAATACTTCTTCTGCATGGTAGTAAGCTCCACATCAACGATGGTTTCTTCTTTCGGCGGGATACTCTTCTCCACATCCTCCTTCACACGACGCAACATGTACGGTCGCAACTGCTCGTGCAGCTGAGCAACCTGTTCAGCAGTATTCAGATCGCCAAATTCGTCGTAAAACTCTTGCTGGCTCGGGAACTTTTCAGGCTCAATAAAGTTGAGCAGACACCACAGCTCGAACACGCCATTCTGCAACGGCGTACCCGTCATGAGTAGACATGAATCCCATGTGAAGCCATGTAGCACCTGAAGTAGCTTGGCCTCACGGTTTTTCAGCTTGTGAGCTTCATCAATCACAATATACCGCCAATGAATGGGCTCGAGGAACTCGGCATCCATCATAAGCGTCTGGTAGGATGTAACCAACACGTTGAACTTGTAAATACCTCGTTTGCGATGAGCTTCACTCGCAAAGTGGAACTCTTGCTCTCGGATAAACGCGCGGATGTCGGATCCTCCTTCCGAATCGTGATACACAACACAGTTCATTGTCGTCCACGTCTCGATCTCTCGCTTCCAATTACCCAGTGTTGCAAGTGGAGCAACAACTAAGAACGGGCCTCGAATAAACTCGCGTTGACGCAAATGCTCGAGGATCGAAGTAGCTTGGACAGTCTTACCCAGACCCATTTCATCGGCGAGAATGCAATTGCGGCGGTTGTACCAACAGAACGTTAGCCAGTTGAGACCTTCAAGTTGGTAGGATCGCAGCGTATTCTGATTATTGTAGACAGGAGACTCTTGGTACTTTGCCCATGTGTTCGGCTCGGGACGAACATCGGAGTACGTTGCAGGGTGAGCGCCATTGATAATCGGAGGGTGGTTGAAACGATGGAAGGCGGCGATCTTACGGTCATCAGTGAGCTGGTCTTCCCACTCCCAAGTGCAGTCGACGTAGCTCATGTCGCGCCACTTCACCAGGTACTTGATACCCTTCTTCTTTGGCACCTTCGGTTCGTCTTCAGTATCACTGGCTTCTTTTTCAAGAAGATGAACGAGGTACGGGTTCGATTCCTCGGGCTCCTCGACCTCCTTGGCATTCAGAATACGGTCCACTTCGATGTACGAGTCACTGAAGTAGTTGCTGAGATCCTTCTCTTCGCCTACGACGACGGTCTCTCTTGCCTCCTCCACTAAGCGGCTGTTCTTCTGAAGATGCCGCTTCATGCGCTGGATAGCGTGCTGGCCGAATTCCTCGATCTCTCTGACAGAGAGCCAACTTACGTGCAGGTATGAAGTATCCTTCCACTTTATCAGGAACTCCATCGACACGTCCGTGTCCTTCGCGCTGCTCTTGTGGAAGCGCACACTCACGATTTTGTCGATTTGTGGGCCCTTCTGGGCTTCCTTTTGCTTGGGCTTTTCAGGTTTCTCTTCATCACTGAGCTCGAAGTCAAGCTTCTCTTCAACGTTATACTTCTTCTTCGCCTTGCCAAGATTACGTCCGGATCGTCGAGCCGGCTTCTCCTCCGTCAAAACCTTCGGCCCAGAGTAGTCATCGTCGGAATCACTTTCGTCCTCGTCCTCGTCGGAATACGCTTTCTTCTTTTTGCCACGTTTTTTCTTCTTGGCTGGCTTCGCAATAACAGTAGGAGCAAAGTTCTTCCTCTTATTCCTGTTCGCATTCGGCTGGATGTAGTTGTGGGCTGTCGTCTTCAGCGCACGACTCAAGATCTCGTTCGGGATGTTGCCACCAGTTGACGTAAACTTGAACACCATAATCTGAGCACGCAGCTGCTCTTTCTGTTCTGCCGAGAATGCAGCACGAAGAAGTGGTCTCCGGCGCTGGACCTGCTGCATGTTTGACATTGCAGCGGGGCCATTTCCACTTGCACTGGTGCCAGCAGGGTTCATGAACTGGACTGCTCCATTGCCGTAAGTTTGAAGGATGTACTGGTTGTACGCCCTTGCTGCTTCTTTCTCCGTAGAAAAGGTTCCAAGACGTCGAATACCACCGCCATCCACGTGCAACTCCGCTGCCCACCGGTTTGGTGAGATGTACCTGACGCCTAAGTGCCACATTCCAGCCGTGAATAATTGAGCGTTGTCCAAGCCAACAAGCGACATTTGCTGTCCCTTTCTGTATCCGTGGACATCTCGGCTCATGCTGCTCACAAGCCCATTACCGCCAGGCCGTCGGAAGCGCAACAAAACTGGACGGAGCGACTTGAGACGGGAAACCACGCGAGCAAAGTCTTCCTGGCTCTGAACCAGAAAGCCATCCACAGCAATCAAGTCATCGCCAACCGCAATCATGCCGCTCGCTTCAGCAGGTCCCATCAAGCCAGACTCGGGTCGACGAAAGCTTGTCACGGAAACTGAGCCCAAGCGAACACTCATATTCATGCACAAACCGATAGATCCCTTTTGAAGCAGGACCTCGTACTCATCGCCAGGGAATTGGTTCTTCCACCCGTGTGCTCTTGTGTTTTCAGCACCAATCGATGCTCGCAGAACATCAACAGCGAGCGCGCTAGCTTGCGCCGGAGTAGACGCATTTTTTGCATACGCGCCCAAGCGACTCAGCTTCGCGCGCTCCAGGGCATACGAATTGTCGTCCAAACGCTGCGGAACAAGGGATTTCGCTGGAAACGGCGCTGGGTTCAAGCCTGGATCGCCACCTCCTTGCTGCACGAATTAAAGCAGCATACAATACAAAGAATCAGTAACCAGAGCATAATACAATACCAATATAAACGTCGCACGTACGTTGGGTCCTGACGATGGGCTTCTGGTTGTAGCTGCCACTTGCTGTCCCATTTGCGGGTTCCAGTTCGGGTTGTTCTGGGTGTTTTGGCTGGCCATGGGAGCAGAGCTCGACTGGCCTTGCTCCATCATCGCAGGTCCAACGGGTGGGCCGTCCTGTGGTGTGGTGTAGAACGATGGCGCGTTGGTCTGGTGGTAGAACATTTGAGACTGCGATACAGCGTTGCTGCTTGTCGAGCTGGTGGCCCCAGCAGCGTCGTTCTGTGTATTACCGCTTGCGTTGTTCGGAGTATCTGCACTATTCGCTGCGTCTCCTTCCTGTTGTGGTTTCATAGCACGGGGATCTCCGTCCAGAGGGCGAATAGGCGTGGGAGACGGCGCCAGGAAGTTAGATGGAGCGAACGGGAACTGCATCTGACGGTTAGCGTTCTGCTGCGCCTCGGTGTCCACATTCAGCGACGACTTAACGTCCTCTGGTGGCGGATTTTCCGTCGTCGGATCCGCCTTAACGTCCTCCGATTGGGTCTCAGCTACGTCTCCATCTTGCTGTTCGATCTTCTGTGTGTCCTCCTCCTTCAACTGCTTTTCATCCTCCTGTTTCTCCAGCCCCACAGGCTCAGCCGGTTCAGCTTCAGCTGCCGTCTCCGGACCCGTCTCAGCTGGCGTCGATGACGTTGTCGGATCTGTCTCTGGCTTCTCCGTTACCGCATCAACTTCCTCCGATGTTGAAGCTGCAGTAGCTTCTTCTACCTTTTCGGCCTCACTGTCCTTTTCAGCTTCAATTTCGGTCTCTTCCGTCTGCTCAGTGGCCTGAGAAAGCTCCGTTGCTGCAATCTCGGTCTTTTCCGTCTGCTCAGTGGCCTGAGAAAGCTCCGTTGCTGCAATCTCGGTCTTTTCCGTCTGCTCAGTGGCCTCAGAAAGCTCCGTTGCTTCAATCTCGGTCTTTTCCGTCTCCTCAGTGGCCACAGAAAGCTCCATTGTTTCAATCTCGGTCTTTTCCGTCTCCTCAGTGGCCTCAGAAAGCTCCGTCGCTTCAATCTCGGTCTTTTCTGTCTCCTCAGTGGCCTCCGAAGGCTTCTCCATCGCTGCCTTCACCTCCGTGTCTTCAGTCTCGGGGGTCTCCTCGGTGGTCGTATCCTTTTCCTCTTCATTGACGGGCTCTTGATCTTCCTGGGTTGTCTCCGTTTCTTTACTGGGCTGCTCCTGAGTCTCTGACTCGGTCAGTGTGTCTTCCACGGCCTGTTGCGGCTCCTCCTCGCGCGGCACGGGCTCCACGTCCTCCATGGGGAGCCAAGAAGGGATCTGGTCGCTGTGTCTCACTTGTGGGACGCCTACGGGCGTCGGGCACTTGCTCTTACGTGGAGACGCGCCAGGATCTGGAGAGTGATTGCGCTCCTTTCCTTTGGCTTCTTCCGCTTCTCCGCATTTATGAGGCGGCTCGTGGCGGGCGGGGACGAAAAACCTCTTGATGTTTGTAAGCAAGCTATGGGGAGACTTGATTTTCACTATGACGTGAAAAACCTCAATCTTGATTGGGGCAGTTCTGTTGATCGCTCTGTCCGATAACAGATGTCCCAAAAGTCGTTATCGGGGCACCAGGTTATCATCGATATGCTTGCACTTGTTGCCAGCATCGTTGCTGGCCACACGATCAATGAACTGCTTGTTGTTAGCTTGGTTTAGCTTCCATTGATGCCTGTGAGGCCATCGGTGGGGGAGATTTTTGCGGGTCCGATGTTAAATGAATGTCACGCTGACCGACCCGACTTCGGACAGCAGCTCGGTCAAACATGTGCATGACCGCCCCCTTTCTACCTCGCCACGCTGCTGAAGGTGCTTGCTTGAAGCTCTGTATCCATCAAATCGCGACGTCGGACCAAAGACGAGGGCTCTGCGTAACGTTGAGGGACACCAACGTGATGGGAAGGGGCACGTTGTCTCGCCAACTTCCTCATCAAACTGAAGCCGCAATCTTCACGATCACGCCCAACGGGACAAAGAGCCTTTCGCATCGCCAACAAACGCGTCCGAACAAAGCGAAATGATTCGCTGGCAGTTTGGTGCATGTAACTTGTGTATCGAAACGATCACGTGTAGACAGACACGCACACCTGTTTGGGAGAGCGTTATCGAAGGCAAGAACGGTATACAACGTTACCATTACAGTCCGGGCAGACCATGTTTGGAACGGGAAACAATTGGATATAACACGGTTATGAGCATACCTTACAGGGCAATGCTTTCAACAATAGCAAGCCATTGTTTGAAATCAAATGTGTATTATTCGTTTAGATGCAGCTAGCGATGACACGATCTTTGCGGGCTAATGCTGAAGACATTGGTCGCTAGCGTCGTAGTAGTTCGAGCTTTACCGGAAATTAGTGAACGCCCGGGACGAGAAAGTTGGCGTTCGCATTGGCGCTTTCTCTGCGCCGCTTGGCTTCTGCTCCAACGCGAGTGAACTTGGTACACTCCGTTTTGTTCTGGCCTCGGTGCTTCTGCTTATCCCAGCGCGACATCAGGAAGTAGTTGCGGCAGCCAGTGCCACCTTCCCAGTGATGAGTGGTTGTTTTCTTGGACGCGACGTCGTTGCCGCATGAGCACACTTTGACCGAGCTCGACTGCTCTTTCGAGCACAAACCACAGATCATCCGGGTGGCAAGGATCCCCATGTTGGCTTTCGAGCAGTCACTCGAGTCGTGGCACACGTTACACGGGAACGCTTTACCGCAGCACTGGAACCGAAACCAGCGCAGCGAATGTCTGTAGTGATTGCAGGCTCCAAAACGAGGTAGTGGTTGGCCCAGGACGAAAGTCTCCTTGAATTTGTTGGGTCTCTGCTTGGCTTCCGGCTTTGTTGCAGAATCATCACGCTTTCGACTCGATCCTTCCAGTTGTCGAGCCAGGAAGCGTTTTGCCATTACAGCCAGCTTAGTGTGGCAAGAGAAGCAGACTTGCTCTGATCGCTGACTCGGCGCAACTCCCTCTAGTAGTGCTTCGTTTCCACATTCCAAGCAAGTGACTAACATGTTCGACGGCAGTACGTCAATAATGCTGCAGTTCTCAGTATCCAGATAAGCCAGGACATCACTCTGAGCATGGGCAAACACTGATCTGATCTGGATGTGGTGCAGCACGCTGCATCGAGGACACCATCGTTGGAACTTCGCTTCGTCCAGGCTCAAAGTGGCGTCAAACGTTAGCGGGCAGTTGGCGCATTGGAGCTGGCATACAAGTTGGTGGGCAACAAGTGTGCCGATCTCGTGGAGAAAGAGATCTTCGAGGCAGATCTGCGTTCCCGTCACTTCTGGTTCAGTTTCAACGGCGACACGCTGTTCTGGAGGAATAATCTGACTGTTGATAGGGTCTCTCTCGCTTGCAATCGACTCTGTTGCAATCTCCTCGGACGAATATACCGTAGTAGGGTCCACACCGCTCCGCACAAGTTCGCACAACTTCTTGAAGCGGTCGATACATTCGTTCAAGGATCGACCATCCACCTCGTTGGCTATACTGGTCCATCGATCAGTCATGTCCATCGACGCCGGGTATCTCTTCAATGCCAGATCGAGAGCACGCTGCTGTGCATCAGACCACTCGCTCGTGTCTTCATCCTTGATAGTTTCCGGTTCAGTGGATCCACCCAGCACCACCACGACTGCGCGGGGGTGTAGATAGGGCTCCAATGTGTCATCCTTCCTTTTAACGCCGCCATTCTTACTGTCATGGGAGAACTTGCACTTGTCGCCATTGCGACATTTGTTCCAAGCGAAATACTTGCATTTACGCGTCTTCTTCTTCTGTTCAGGCTCTACAGCGGGTGCTGGCTGCGTGGTCGATGAACCAGCGTCTTCTTCACAGCTCGTTTGCTTTGACTTTTTCGGTTTCTTTTCATGTAGAAACTTGCACTTCTCGCCGTCTCGGCACTTTGATCGCGCGAAATATCGGCAGAGCTGCTGTCTGCTCTTCCTCTTTGCGCTCTGTCCGCTCGAGGCCGTCTTGTTCTGTGAAAGTTGAGAAGTCATAGACTCCGCAATGAACAAGTCCACATGCTTAGCGTCCTCGCTGGTCGTCTCAATGTGCTTGTTATGCTCTAACGACATGATGCTCTGATGCTGTCGGTCACGTTGCTGGTCTTCTGTTGTGCTGTTTGCTGGTTGTGCTGTGAAAGGCAAAGTTGGAAATGATAGGATAACCTTTTGGTGAAGATTTCAAGCGTCAACCAAGACAAAATTGTGATGACCGGTCCGAGCGTTCTCAGAAAATTCGTTTTGGTGATCGACGAATATCATGTTTACCATACAGAAAATGCCAACTGTTTGTAAGTTACCCGTCCTAGCAAACATTCTTTTTGTAACATTCGAGCACAAAACATGACCTCACAAGACACAGATTTTATTTTGACACAACAATTGAGTAGTTTCCACAAGGAAAATGCTACTGCAATGAAAAATCAAATGTTATTTAGAGTGATCGCATCGCTGTTCTGCTGCTTCGGCTACACTCTCGCGAGTGGTTTACGCGTTCGACGAGACGCCATCCTTGTACTGGGGTTTGAGCTCGTAACAGCTCTTGTTAGGGCCCTTGCGGTGGTACACGCAGATCTCCTTGAGTACCTCCTTCAGCAACGACTGCAACACAAAACAAGATGCAAATTAAAGTATTAGCACGAATACGAGATCGACCAACGATCACACAGTAACGCACCTCAGGTTGACGGCAATGGTAATTGAGCTCCTTAAGCGGCCAGTACTCGCGCTCCTCGAAGTGGTGGAACACGAGGTTCTTCAGCTCATCCTACAAATGTAAAAGCAAGAACGTTAGTGAGAGGATTCTGAATGTGCTCCAAACTAACGCGTACCTTGCTCATCTTAATCTTCTTATCCGATTTATCCATAAGCTTCGAGTCAGCGTCATCCTGCAATAACAAAGGCAACAATGAGGACCTAAACAGAATTGACGCAAAATGCGTAAAGGAACGCACCTCCTCGGCCTCAGCATCAGGCTTCTCAATGGTGAACTGGATCCTAGCTTTCTTCACGCGAGGTAGGTCTTCCAGTGGCTGCACAATCCTGTACAACGATCAACGCCAATTAGTTCACTCCCGAAGTCTTCTTCGGTGCGTCGGTACACTTCGTACCTCGTCTTGACCATCGACTTGATCAGACGTTGCTTGCACATTTTGCTGTATTGGTCGTTGCGCTGAGCCATCACAGAGCAGCTGTTCTTCACTGTGCCTTCAATGGCCATACGACCAGAGCCATCCAGCGAGAAAACCTTCAGCTTCAACGGTGTCTCGCTGATCTCCACACGGTACTCCGTCGGAATGTCGTCCTCCAGAGTGCTAGGATTCACCGTTAGCATGCCCTATTGAGCCAATATCACTAGTTAGGTCAGCCAGTAACCAGCACAGCGCTCTGTATCTGTACCTTGCGACGACCCAGTACGCTCTTCTTCTCCAGCTTAATAGAGCCCAACATCAGCTCACTCTCTGCATTGCATGCAAACCGCGATGTAAGCGCTGATAGCACTCGTATTAATGACAAAAAAAGCTTTTAAAACCTTGCACGCTCTTCCACGACGCACCGAGGGCAGTCTAATCCACAGAAGCAGCAGTAAATCGTCAGTTTAACGCCGACAAACGACCAAAAAGGGGAATAAAAAGCAACTCGTAGCGAGAACAGACACCGGAGAAGACAACACCGTACCGGAATCTTAGCGAGGTACACCTCGCGGTCCTCCAGCTCGAGATGTAGCGGCTCCACCTGTTCCTCGGGCTCAGCCATGTTGGGTTAATCGGATTATAAACTGCCAAAACCGATAAGTTAAAATCCTCTCAAACCCGATAAGCATTCTAACGGGATTAAGCACGCATCAGATGTGTCAATTTGTGATCTAGCGCCTCGTTCACCATGTCTGCGTCGGTGTTGCTGCTCAAGGCAGCGGACGAAAAGTACAAGGCTGCTTTGGAGCAGAGCCCCGACACGGGATCTTCTCGACGGCAGTTGAAAGCGCATTTCACGGATGTGTTGACGTTTGAGTACCTCAATGCGGAGCTGCTACTGGACGTGCTGACCCACCTGGACCGCTACTGCGGCATCATGATCACTAGTCCGCGCAGCGCAATTGCTGTGTGCAACGTAGTTAGTGCGCTAGATGCGGAGCTGAAGAAGGAGGTGCTGGAGAAGCTGCGAGCTAAGCCCGTGTTCTCTGTTGGTGAAGCCACGTCACGCGAGCTGCAGCCTCTCGAAGTGGTCTGCAAAGGCGACGACGCAGGCTCGGCCGATTTGCTGTCCGCGTACTTACATCAGGACGGCGTCTTACCTGCGGACTGCGAGGAGAAGCCTATGATGTTTCTGTGTGGCGACAAACGCCGTGATGTCCTCCCCGATAGCTTCCGTTCTCGAGGTCTCCCGCTTGAAGAGCTGGTCGTGTATCAGACTTGCGCCGTGCAGACTGTCGAGTTCCCTGCAGAGTGTAAGGTGCCGGACTGGATCGTACTCTTCAGTCCTAGTGGACTGAAAGTGGTCAAGGACCTGGATCTGCCATGGGGGTCTATTCGCAAGGCTGCAATCGGTATGTACTTAACCGCTGGCATACTGTAGAATTCTAGAGATCTGTAAGGACACTGACAGTTGCTTATGGTCTGTTACCAGGTAAGACGACTGCTGCTGCGCTGCACGAACACGCATTTGCTACAGAACAACCATTCTGGGAAGCGGACGTAATTGCGCCGAAGCCCAAGCCCGACTCCCTCGCTAACGCTATCTTCGCCTTCGAAGAAGAAAACAAGCCGTGACGCGGCAGAATAACACCTGTAAAACCTGCCATCACGTCCAGAATTCAGCAGCTACCACGACAAACTTAACATTGTTGACGATGCTCATTGTAGATTTAGCATTGTCGACTTCGAACCCACTTTCGGTGGATATTATGTCCGTAATGACCATCGTCTTCTCTGCTCTTCCTGTCCATGTGTAGATCCCTTTTGACCGATAGTATCTCTCCATCTCTTAGTCTTTGATTTACTCTTCATCCTCCGTCTTGCGCGGCTGCATGGCGAGCTTCAGAGCCTGGCACGGGGAGATTAACAAATGTAATTAGACACGTCGATCACAGTAGAAAGAGGCGACAAACATACCTCCGCGCCTTCCCGTCGCGCGTTCCAGTCGGCGATGGGGCCGGTGATGATCTGCATGGTGGCCGCGACGATGCCGCCGGTGAGCAGGTAGCGAGCGATTGCGTTCATACTTGGAGTTGGCTTCTGAGGCTATGGCGCGCCCGGTGGAATCGTTCACCGAGGCTAGGTTAAAAATACCGGTACGAAACGGTAACAGTGACAGCAGTTGTTTGTTTAGTTGAGGTTCAGCAACGTTGCAGGTTTGCATCATTCAACAGCAAACCAACGTTCCACCCGTTCTCTATTTGCCCACGTGTCTTTGCTAGGTCACAATGAACGTGGCAAGTGCGAATGGCAGCCACGTCTTGAGGAACCCACGAGTGTCGACGTATTTCCCGTTCAAGAACATCCAAAAGCACAAAATCACCATGTTCCATGAGCTACGCCCGCTGAATGGAAACTGTGTTAAGCATTCCGCGACATACGAGTGGCAATTGTCCAGAATACATGTAGGCACGCGAGCAAACCCGTAAATAATCATCATAAGTGTTCTAACAACCATGTTTGGCAAGCCGTACAAGAAGTTGTAGGTGTGGGTGCTATAAATTACCGAACCTTTGGCCACGGCTTCATCCCAGCGAGTAACTTGATCGGGGGCAACATCCAGTTGCACGTATCGTGTCGAACAAAAGTTATCTCGGCCGATCGTGTTGGTACTTCGAAGTCGTGGATTACTCTAAAGGATAAAACGCATTCACAACAATTATTAATATTGTCACAACACTAGGCAAGTAGGTAACAAAATCGAATTGCTACCCCTTTGAGTCGGCGATACCGAGGTGACCGATGAACGGGAGCACCCACCTGATTACGGGGATCGGTGACCACACAACGCAAAAGGGAAAGCGGTCGGTGCTCTGGTCGATCACCACCACGCGCGAGCCGCTGGGCGTGGAATTGCTGTTCGACATCTGTTCTGATAAGGAGAAAACAATAGCAAAAGCGACTTCCACGCATCCAAAATGGACTAGTTAAAGCATGAGGTAGTTGAAGCTGACTCGAGAATACCTTATAGGAATTAAGAGATGACTCACCATGAGGAGGGACCACTACAAGTTGCCGTGCAGTGTAAGTTCGAACGCGGTTATTCTAGAAGTCCACTTACTGGATATTCCACAGAGTCGGTTTTTGGCTTTCCCACCAAGCTGTGTCAGTCAAAGAAGCAGCTCCTACTGCGATCCAGGTTGTATTGCAACCGCGTTGGCTGTGTAGGAGATCAGCTCCTTGAAGTCATACGTGTTGAGTGGTTAAACGCTGAATACTTCCTGTGCCTACCAGTCGAGCACGAGCCGTGCATCCGCGTCCAATGGCCCCTGTGCGCCTAGAACGGGAAGTGTTGACGTAGGTGAAGATGACACTCTTGGGCGGAATGGATCAGCCACTTGGTTGTCCCCCAGTGTACTGCGGCTATGCCCGGTGCTGACACTCTCCGTGCCCGTGTAGCTGGAACTGGACGCGAACGAGAACTCAGGCTCGGACTCAATACCGCTGGCTTCGATGTGGTCGTCCACGCTCCAGTGTGCACTGCCGATGACGCTCTTGATGCAGAGCACGCAGAACAATCGACGGAGAGGTTTCTTACGCTTGGCATCCAAAGCGAAGATACCCTTCTGTCGTGAACAGTCCCTACACACGCTCTGATGACAGCCAGCGCACGCCGGGTAGCTTCCTAGTAGAGGCTGCTTGGAGCAGACATGGCACGCTTTGCTGTGGATGGAAAAGAAGACAAACCGGTCAACAGGAATTCATACTGACGCCATCATCAAGTAAATCACACGCACCTTGTGGCGGTCCATCCGTGGCTCTCCGCTCGCTCCATCAACGCGCTGAACTTCTTGGCGTGGCCACTCGTAGGGCTGTGCACGACGTTAAGCCACGTCGTGGCAACTCCGTAGTAGATAACCTTGTCCGGGTATTTGCCGAATTTGTAGATGGATCCCCAGAGGAATATCTCCGTTTTGTTGATATCACGTCGCGGGCGGTACAAATAACACGTTGCCGTGTGTTGACGCTGCATTCCGGGTATGACTTCCATGGGCCACTCCGGACGGCGAATCGATTGTAGAGTATGGTAGCCCCATTGTTCGCCGTCGGCATCGACAGTCAGACCCATTCGCTCGTACGTCAAGACGTCGCGGTCCCGCATCAAACCCCACACGGACTTCGCTGCGAACCACTTGACACCAGCGAACCGGAAAGGATCTTTGACGCTGCGCCGTTCACTGACGTTCATTACGGCGCCTCCAGCCAGTGGATACCCTAGTAGAACCTTGGCTGTTCGTAGATCCTCGGTCGTATCACAGTAAAGCCCGCTTAACACGTCCTCGATGGAGCCGTCGATCAGTCCCGTTCCAAGCATCAGTAGCACCGCCGGGTCAGGCGTACCGTTGACGCTGTGGTAGACGCTCATGGACTTGCGGCGACGTACGTATTCCCACTGCTTGGGGTTGATGTGCTCCGGATCGAACTTGGAACGCTCGGCCATGGTCTCCAATAGGAAGATGCGGGCCGATTGGTCATACTTGGCACGCTCCTCGTCCGTGAGCGAGATCTGCGGGATATGGTCCTGGTACATGGCCGACAGCGTTCCGAGCGCTTGTAGGTGAAAGCCAAAGTGAGGCCACAGGATATAATACCTCTCACCTTGGTCTCCGCCATGTTGCAGAATCCGTCTGCGCATAGTTGCATCGATGGCAAGACGAGCCAAAGCTCAAGACATCACACGTCACAGACATACGGCTGCGTTTCCATGTACATGTACACGTCAAGCTGCTCGAGTTTACGCACGAAAGATTGAACTCCGTGATACCACTTCAGCAATAAGATCTTGCACAGTGTCGTCAACGTGACAGTGTCGATCAGCTGAAGGACAGCACTTTACAACTTGCAACTTGCACCTGCAGCGGCCGTTAGATGCTTTTCGAGGATTATACTGTGCAATACTCACTAGGTCGTCATGAAGTCACCATCCGTCAGGTTACCAACGATGGTGTCGTTAATGAAGGCGTCGCAATGAATTCATGACTAACGGGTGGCATGCACCCACCGTCGCGTCCCAAGTCATGGCATTTAGCTTCGTTAGCCTCATTTCTCAACCTGCTTCATGTGCGGGACGTGGTTTTTTCAAGGACCAAAAGGGTTCGAGGTGATAACCCCCCGCGATCAAGCACCGCGCGGACAAGCAACCGAGGCTTCAAGTCCCCGTCAAGCAGCGACCAAGACCTTGGTCGCTGCTTTGACGCCAACTCCGAAGATGGCAAACACCCAGAGCGTTTCTGACGGTCGGATCTGCGTGAGCTGCTTCAGTCCTGGAACGACACTATCCGTTCTGGTCGCAGTTCCGTGTGGTCATGTATTCTGTAAGTCTTGCATCTCCAGGCGCTGCACTGTCGCTTTAAAGGATCGCACTCTGGTTCCAGCGCACTGCTGTGGTTTGGAATTCCCGACCGAGTATGTCAAGGAGGCGCTGCAGTCCGCAGACTTCACGACGTACTCCCGTTTCTTACGCGAACGTCAATGGAAATGTACTACTCTCCGCTCGGATGTCGAATATGCTCAGATGGTCAAGCGCATTGGCGGGATGCAGTGCCCAAGATGCGGAGTCGGCGTCAAGAAGATTTCAGGGTGTGATACCATGAAGTGCTTCTGCGGCAACCAGTTCCTCTACTTGCATTGACAAGTCGAGTTCCCAGTACACGTTCACGTACAATTGCGTTGGTTATCACTGTTGAATGTTCACGTCGAATGCGAAGTTGCCAACCGTAAGAGATCCAAATCGATCTTGAAACGACGCGTCTTCCTAGTCTCCATTGCAAATCCCTTCCATCTATTGCACTAATCCTTGTGCGTGTGTGTTCCCATGAGCGGTGACGCCTTCGTCGTTGTGTTCTTAAAGCCGGAGATCGCGACAGGTTTCTTTAAGTTCGCTACGAGTGATAACGACAGTGAATCGGATGATTCTCCATCCACAGAGCCATCGTCATCGATCCCCGGAGTCTCAGCAGTCGAAGCTGCGTTCTTGTTACCGAATGGCCAAATAATCCCAACTGTTCTTGCTCGGATCAAAGATAAAGGCTTTGAAATCGTTCAGCGTCGTATGAAGGTGTTGACAAAGGCTGAAGCACGACATCTCTTCTCATACGAACAGCAGTACCGATTCAAGGACGATCCAGAGGCTTTTGCGGCCTATTTGAACTCGATCACCAGTGGTCCGAGTCTCGCGTTGGTACTTAAGCTACCTGCAGCGTTGGCTTTGGGTGATGCCAATGCTGCGATCAAGAAATGGGTAGAATTGGCCGGAGATTGGGACCCCGTCGTAGCTCGTAAGAAGGCGCTCGCGGCGTCGACTCCGCACGATCAGTGGCCCCTTCGAGCTCTCTGTGGACTCAATACGGTGCAAAATGGCATTTCTAGCAGCCCGCACGTGTGTTGTTCGCGACGAGAACGATTCTTTCTGATGCCACCAGCAGTGCCAAAGCTCGAGCAAGCTACAATCGTGTTGTTACCGTCGTTTGACACGAATTATCCAGAAGGTAAGGAAATTCTACTCTCGACTATCGCAAGAGAGACTCAAGCATTTGTAGTCGAAAACTATGAGAGCTATTCTCTTTCTGATGATCAAGTCGTCGCTCTCTGTGGACTCACCCGTACAACGGGGTCAGAGCAGACATGTGCGAGTGTGGTGCAGCTTACACTGGAGACCGTGGGCAGTAAAGGTGTCGATGCTATCGTTGTAGAAGGCCTTGACTTAAACTACACGCTACGGTTTGCGGTGGGTCCAGCCAACGTGGACTTGGCCAAGCTGTACTTCCCTGAATCTGTACGGGCTCAAGTAGCTTCTAAACTACCATCGGTAGAGCTACCTCCAGATCTTCATCCCAATGAGGCAACAGACGACGATGCGTTGGGGTTCGAGAGCGGTTTATTCGTCTCTTTCGACTCGAAATTTACTATCACACATAGCAGTGAAGCGGGTGTTGGGAAGGGGCCACCAATTGAGTCTACACTGGGCCTCATCAAGCCAAATGCCGCTTGTAAACCTGAGATTGTTGCTGAAATACTGCGTATGCTCAACTTGTTCGGATTCAAAGTGGAGCGGCAACGCCGTCTGCTGCTTTCTCGGGACCAAGCGAGTGCGTTTTACGCTGAACATCGTGGAAAACCATTCTTCGAGACGTTGTTGGAGTTCATGACAAGTGGAGAAATCGTAGTCTTGCATTTGTCACGTCCCCAGTCCATCAAAGCCTGGAGAGGACTCATGGGGCCTACGAACAGTAACAGAGCTCGTGAGACGCACCCATGGACTTTGAGAGCACGCTTTGGTATTGACGGTACTCGGAATGCTACTCATGGTAGTGACTCCACTGCTAGTGCAGCTCGCGAACTCTGTTTCTTCTTCGGTAGTGCTGTATCTGCTTCGTCAACCGCAACATCGTTGAACGTCCGAACCGTGGCTCAGCGACCAGTAGTGCTATCAGGAATTTCAGAGACCAGTGTTGAGAAGATACTGACGATAGGATTGAAAGAGCTCGTTGAGAAGAAGGTGACTGATCCGCTGGAAGCTTGTCGATGGCTGGGAGAATGGCTTGTAAACTATCGGTCTCGTGGACTTGAAGAGGGGCATGAAACGCACAACGTTCGAGAACCAGTTCGTGCAAATCTAAGTACCAGCGTGAAGCGAGTTGTTGTGGGAGGAAATACTCTCAAAACGCACAAAATTGTCGCGATTACTCTGGATACTTCGATCATTCATTTGCGTAGTGTACTACTTGATACTCTTCATAAGCGGTTGGAAAACGATCGCTACGAGGTTGTTGATGTCGCGGCTGAATTGGAGAAATATACAGCACTGAATATGGCTGTAGCTAATCTCGTGAGACTACTGAGGAATTGTGGTCGACGTCGCTGTGTGCTCTTCGGTTGTGAAGAATTTGCAAAGAATTCAGTTTTCCACCATGAATTTAAGACCCAAGCTCCTGCTGAGTGGCAAATCAACTTCCTAGTTCGCTTGGATCTCGAAAACTCGAAAACTTCCTTCACAGATTCCTCTTCATTCGATTTACCAGTCTTCCACTTTAGCCTCCCTCAAGATCTACAAAACGATGGAACTCTCCATGGGTTGTTCCAAGCAGTATTTGACCCGAACATCACTCTGCTAGCAGATCCTGAAAAACTGGTACCTGTCACTGTATGGACTCAAGTTGCAAAACACTTTGGCTTCCACCTGCTTACGTTCGAAGATTTTATCAATTCAGTGAAGAATTGCACCGATAACTCGGACGATACTCGACTGCTACTTGAATTATCACGTTCACGATCAAACATACAACCACTTTTGATTCTCACCATTCTTCGACGTGTAATTCTTGGATTTCTGCCTGGAATCAACACATTTGATTACAAATTCATGCTTTTTGGTTTCCCGTGGTCAAATATTCAACTAGCAGAGCTGGAGCTGACAGTAGGAAGTCCGCAATGTCTGCTGTACATTGGAGAGAAAAAGCAGCGATCCAAACCTAAATCCAGTTTACCAGATTTGCCAGCGTGGATCTCAGCGTACCGAAAGAAAGGACTTGTAAAACGTATCTGGATTGACTCATCCGTTAGCGTTGATCGTGCCGCAGTGTGCTCTGCAGTGCAGCGTGCTATGCTTCCCATGATCGGCTGCTTTTTGGGCAAATGTGACGGCCAAGAGCTTGAGTCTCTGCAGATTGCAGCCAAAACGCAAGGGGTTCTCTGGGTCGATTGTGTTACTGTCATCCCATCCGTACAGAAGTTGCGAGAGTTGTTGCTGCGCGCTCATGCTGGACGAGAGAAGTTCCTCCTGTACGGCTATCCACAGACTTCTGCTCAGGCCGCAGAGCTCCTGAGCCTTGTTGGCTCTCCGCAATTCGTGATTCACAACTCGTCGGCTTCTCTTGTCGCACCAGAACTTCTTGCAGTCTTCGACGCTCACCCAGATATCTCGCAGCTAGATCTGGCTAGCTCAAACGGTCCGTCGAAGCTACGCTCAACCTTTTTCCGCAAACAAGTGGTTGCAGTAGTTGGCAGCGTCGACACGCTGCATTTGCCGCAGCTTCGTGACGCCGTGGCACCGCTAGGATACGACGTCATCGAGTTTAACCACAGTCAAGCTTTTCACGATGAAAGCGAACAAATTCATGAATTCGAACGTCAAGTCCAAGATATACAAGCTCCACGTTGTCTGGTTATTGGAGCGCCGGAGTCATCAAGTTTTTATCATGCTTTGGAAGCTCGGATCGGGTGCTCGATGCACAAAATCCTGATCTTGCAGCATGTTAAAGTCCGTGTTCGAACTCCTGCGATGGACGACGAGGACTCGGCCGGTGATTCGGATGAAGAGCAGGGCCACGTCCACATCGATGAAATCGAAGACAACAATGCGAAACCCGCAATCAGATGGCGAAAGGTGTTTCAAGCGCTGAGTCCACAGCTCTCGCAGCTTCTTCAGAGCTTTGCATCGGCTTTAGACTCGTCGATCTCAATCGACATCGTCGGGTTCCTGGAAAACACCCCACGCGGCTCGTCTCGAGTCGTTCAAGACGTCGTTGAACGTCTGCGTCCGCGTTTGTTCGGTGTGGTTGGCCACCGTTTCTCGTTCTATCAAACGGCGGCACGAAGCTTCTGTCGACGGCATTTGGTGGGCTTTCTAGACCTTACTAACGTGTCTAGCAACCGTGAAGCATTGGAACAAGTCGAGACTCTCATAGCGACCACACCGCATTCGAGTTACTGTCTCGACGGCTTCCCCCGTTCGTCACTCCCAGATGCGATCACTGCATCCGTGTCCTCGACACCTCGTTACGTGGCTCAGCAGCTGTGGGAATTGGACCGTCGACTGGGCAAAATGACTACTCTGGTCCACTTTACCGCGACGTTGGAGGTGCTGGAGGATCGAACACCTACGCAAGTTACGCGTCGAATGCTGGAATTGGCTCAGGACGATCTGGAACTCACGTCCACTGACCTCGTACGGTGGTTCACGACTGGCAAAAACCACCAGACGATCGCCGAGGTCACGTGTGACCGAACGGTCGAGGACGCGCAGAAAGAGATGGACAATATCTTGCGGTGGACTCTACGTCCAAGCCGACCTGCCGTCAAGTAAAAAGGCGGCGTTGGATTGTAGGAATCGAAGATGGTCGCGACGAGGATTGCTAGTGATACAGTGTATTGTTTCCAGGGGCTTACGCGGCCCTTCATTTCCATCTACTGCGACATCGTGTGGACATTTACGCCTCATATCATACCATCTTCATACATCCTATCTACATGGTGTCTACGCACTTGTTATACTGTGTCCGTTTAGCTCTGTTGTTGAAGCGCTCGCTGCTGTTTGCCGTGCTTGATGCAATAGCCGCCGCTACGAGCTGCGTGAGTGCAGCCCTCGGTCGCGCAACGTTTGCCGCCTCCGTGTGAGTAGCAGATGCCTCCGGACTGAGCACTTTTAGTGCAGTTAGCCACCGCACAGCGACGGCCGCCGCCGTGCGAGATGCAGAAGCCGCCACGGTGTGCGCACTTGTGGCAACCCGGCATCTTGCAGAAGTGGCGTCCGCCGTGCTCCATGCAAAGACCTTTGCGTCTGGCGTCGTTGACACACCCGTCGCGACGGCACTTGGCTACTGGTTTCGAGCTGCCGGTGCTACCGGTGGACGGCGTGGGGCTAGCTAGAACGCGGGGCTTGTTGCCCACCGATGCCGACAGGAACATTGTGTTGTCGGTAAAGATCGGAGACCGTGCAGTGTAGGTCACTGCTGTGGTAGTGTACAAGGGGCTGCCGGGCTGGACGGTCGAGTCGTAGCTCGGATAAGCCGAGACAGACACCGACTGGCGGTCACGGGCACGGGTGGGCACCACCGTCCTCAATGCTGGCAGATACTGAGGCTGCGCGGCTGGAGACGGTAGCACGAGGCTCGGAAGCGGGTTGGTGGTGGTCTGGACGAACGGCGTCTGGTTCGGGGACGGGAACTGCGGAGCCGGTCGGCCGTGGATGTGATCATGGCAGTATCCCTGCATCTTGCCAAAGTTAGCGCATCCCTGGAACTTGCAGTACTCGAGCTTGAGCGGATTCAGAAGGCTGCTGCTACCGACCACCGGGAACCGGGACGTTGTCGTGGTGTTAGCAGGACTGATGCTGCCGATGGACGGCAGTAACGGGGTCGTCGCGATGGTCGACGTGGTGTTGGCCAGATTAATGGTCGGGCTGCAGTTGCTCATGAGTTGGCGCTTCATGTCGTCGGGCTGCTGCATCATGGCCGGGTTGTCGAAGTCGGTGGTGTTCCGGGCCTGTGTCACGATCCATGGGTGGTCCATTGCTCGATCGGGTACTGTCAACATGTACTTTTGCAATCTGTTTGGGTGGTAAAGCTGATCTTTCGATTCCCAAACGCTGGTCCGAGGCCCTGTGCGTTCAAGTTCAAATTCGCAAATGGCAGTGGTGTCCAGCCGGGCGGCAGTCGAGTTAACGTTAACCCTGGCCAGCCGGTGCGCGATCTGCAAGCTTTTGACTTTCCCTGCGGATTCGTCACAGCACCTTCGATCAGAGGATTGGATCGGGGCAGATTTTTCTTCAAGCTGTTTTTCTGTGGCGCGAGTGTCACTGGGTAAGCGAGCTGAGACTAACAGAGAATTACTCTTGGACTCAGTAAGTTACTGCCGAGTTAAGGCCAGCAGGCAGGTGTGTGTGTGCAGCGCGCCAAATTTGTGGCGGGTTTAGCTTCGCCGAGACGAAACAGCAACTTGCTGGCAGCAAGAGCACTCGCTGGCGGCGGCGCTGATTTATTTTGGCGCAATGTACTTTGGAGCCATAACGGCAGCGTCATTTTTGAGGCCGCGCCACATTGCCGGAAGATGCCGGCGCCTTCTTCAGTTGACTAGCGTTGCGCGTAACTACCGATTTTATTTTGCACAACAGTGTACTAAAGTATATATTTGCAAAAGATCGCCTCGACAGTGGTACGGTGGAATCCAACTGCCGTTGACTTGAGTTTTGTATGCCACGTTACGTATCGCAATATTTTTGAAAGGATGCCAAGTTAGCTGGCGTACTTTGGCGGCGCCAGCCCAGAAGCTTCCGCTCGGCATTCCATTTCAAGACAACCATAGAGATCGGAGACCATGGATGGCTGCAACAACGCTCGTTGCATTGCGGAGGCAAACCTGAAGGCCAAAACGAAGTCCCGCATTGCACGATCCAAAATCTTAGTGGCCTATCCAGCTAATACGTGGTCGTCCAATGCAATGCGGCGGGACTATCGCAGCCTCAACACCGGATAGATCGGCGGTATCAGACAAAGATGCTGGCTGCCATGCCGAGGCTTTGGTGGTTCAGTGGAGCCGCGCGAAGCGTTGGATTTTTGTAAGCAACACTGCTCGTGCCGTTCCGCCTCGGTTTGGGGCAAATTGGCGAGACACGACGAGCTCCAACCTAGCACCTGTGGGGTGAGTCCCATCAGTTCCGCTTAGAAGCGGGGCTGTCACTAGTTGCGGATGCAGGAACCAATTGCAGGGTTTCGCTGCTGCTGCTCTCGAGATGTCAGCGACATGACACGAAAGCTGATGCACACCATGTGGCATCTTGACACTTGTGGCTCTTAGTCTGCCATACGGCGCGCTTGGCGAGATCCGGACGGGCTCTGCTAAATGTCCCTTGCCATTTCAGCGCCGTCCACCGGCTGGTGGTTTGTTTTGTGTAGAGATGACTAGCAAAAGGCTGAAGTGTATTTCACGTTGACAGTCCACAATCGACCGACAGGGAAAAGCTGACTCGACGCGCTCCTCAGCTGGTGAGCTCCTTTGACCGGCTCATGCAACGCGACAGGCCGAGCGGACAGATATTCGGCGTCTGCAGCTGGTTGTTTGCAATCGAGCAAGTGTGGCTCATGCGTTTCGGCATCGAGCGTTCGGGTTGAACGTCGCCTGTCATGCAGCACTGAGAGTCTCGAGACAGGTCTAAAAGACCTAGCTCTAAACGCGAAGCGAATGATCTTGAAGTCATAAACGCTGGAGTTGGATAGGCAACCTCGGAGTCAGCTGCAACGAGTCCCACAACATCGCAAATCGGGGCCATCCTGTCTATCCAAGGCGAGGATATGCAATCCTCGAACACTCAACCTTCGTCGAACGGACGGCGAGACCCGAATAAGCTCCACGAATAAGCCGGTGAACAAGGCCGGTCGCTTATTCGTCGTCGGCAACCGCCACCACATCCCGAAAAGGGGCTTCGCTTTCTTCGTGCAGCTTGCTTGGAAAGGCGGAGGACCATCCATTCAAGCGGAGGCAGACGAGAAGATGAGTGAAAGTGTCAACGCCCCGATAAATCGTGTCCATCCCCGAGTGCATGGCGTCGTGACGATGACTTGATGACCTCTGCTGGCATTGCGGCCGTGTTACACGTAGCATGGCTCTTGTTGGCTGTGCGCTGCGTTGAAATTGCCACGAGGCGTGCAGTCTTTCATGGTAGGTATTTGCCGGGATAACAACTTCAAGTTGTCACATACAAATCTCCATATTATTCTTCCACAAATGAAGAGCAGTAGTAGAGCCACAACCTATAGTGGTTATTACGTGTGATAGGTTTTACGATCACTGCGAAGCCTCATAGGAGCTGTCAGTGCGCACACTCGCTGAAACGAAATCTACCGAGTTCACGTCCGCAAGTTCCTCTGGATGAAAATGGGATCCTCTACGGCACATCAATCGGATTTAGGAGCAGCTTCAACATGGAGCATAGAAAACTTAGCACAACGTTCTCGCGGATAGCAAGCAGTTTGTCTTATCAAGCATATTTCGACAATTATTCTGCATCACAGGTCATTCTTCTGAACAGGATTTATTTTCTCCATATCTCAACCATGAGTGCGAACGCGACCGAAGTGCTGAAGAACCTGTTGATCTTGCAGCTCGAGGGCGTTAAACGGCTCGTGAATGAGTATCACCAGCAGACTGAGGCCTACGTGCAGCAGTTCGGGCATCTCCCGCTGTCTCAGGAGCCTGCGGACGCTGCTCACGAGACACGCATCACGTTGCGGAGTCTGGCAACGGCTTCACCGTCACTGGCTGATGGCTGCGCGGTCTCGGAGGTCATCCTCGACGCTACTAAGAAATATTGCGGAGCCGACATGTGTGCGACTTCACCGGAGCATCTCGAGAGCTTTCTAGCTGTCTCTAGAAACGACGTTAAGACCGCCGAGGACCGCGTGCATGCGCTGTTCGTGCTGGACGCGACACTGGCCAGTGCTGAGCACCAGAAGGAGATGCAGTCGCGGTTCGAGCGTCAACAGGGCTACGATTTGCTCGTCGAATGGCTCGCAGTCAGCTGCAGCTACAACGACGAGACGTCCAAGGCTTTCACGGAGCTACTGCTGCTTGTATTGCAGCGCCATGTGCCAGCTATTCCATTCACCGCCAAGACGGTGGTGAAGAAGCTGGCAAAGTACAAGAACGTGATGAAAGGAAAGAAGAACAAAGCTCTGCTGCAGAATGTCGTCAACCATTATCGAGAGAAGATTAACTCGTAGCCTGGTCAAAGGCCAGCCCTTTGCAATAGGCTAGTTTTCTCTTCATTATTATTAGGCTGTGAAACCCACCCAACCCTGTGCATTTTGTTTGTTCTCTCAATTGCAATCGGCCTTGCACCTGTGTCAGCAGCGCAGGGATGGAAGGCTACCTGGATCACCTGGAGACGACAGGTCCTACAGGTCTACACAAGAAGATCTGGGCACGTCGCTTTTTCAAGTTAAATAAAACCTTCCACGTGCTCGAGTTCTTCACGGACGAGACGCAATACGAACGCAAAGGGAAGCTAGAGCTTTGTGGTGCTACTGTGTTCACTGCAGATGAACTTGGTGGACTACTGAGTGACGACAAATCATCAGTCGAGATGTCGAGGCGATTCATCTTCAGAATCACAGAGAACGGCAGCAAGAAGCACCACTATTTGTGTGCCAATCTCAGTGGCGTTAAGGCTCCAGTTCCACCGACGTACAAACTGGCGTCTTCTACTCGTGATTATCTGGAAGAATGGCTTCGTGCCCTCCGGACAGCGATTGCTGCTGCAGATGATACTCCTCTATCGGCGGTGACGATGGGACTGGGTGAGCTTAATGCACAGATTGGAACCTTTATGAATCACATGCATCTCTCGGCTCTTATCTCGAATAGAATCCGCGAGCACGGGCAGTCGATACACGAAATCACTGTGAAGGCGTGGATTTTGGAGCGCGAGCTTGTGGTAGACGAAGATCAGGAAGATTACCGCGGCGAAATGTCCTGGCAGGTACTGGAATATTCGTGCGCTTGGAGGATTCGGAAGTCGACGGCAGAACTGCGAAACTTTGACGAACAATTGCGACTGCTCTTTGGCTCTAGCGTGCAGAATCTTGTGTTCCCGTCGAGTTCATTTGGCAGCAAACTGCAACAGCTTCATCTTCACACTTCTGCAACTCAAAAGGAGGCTGAGAACCAACAGCGCATGAAGATTTACGACGCGTATCTGCAATCTCTGTTGCGCTTACCTGCATTTTCGTCTTTTGGTAGCGACGCTAGCACAATGCTGGATACCTTTCTTGATATTTCTCCTCATCTCACACCCTTCCGCAAATTGGAGAAGGAAATTGGACAGAGCATGCACCTCCGTGATCGCAAAGTGGTACCGTGGAAAGACCGTGAGCGTTTCGAGATGCTCTATAAGATGCACCTTCAGGTTATTGCTACCCAAGAGGAGAATTCTCGTCGTGTTCAGACGGAGTATCTCCGCAAAAAGTCTGACACGAGTCATCGCCACCGACACAGTCGCCACCGTTCTAGTAAAGAGAGGAATTATTCAGAAGCTGAGGAATTCGCTCCTGTGCCTGTGGACTTCTACGTCGCTCCTCTACCAGCGCCAACGACGGCAACTGAGGTATGTGCATTCTTAGTTTTATTTTTCTTCATGTTCTGATTTTTTATGTTTTCTGTCTGTAGGAGTCCCGCCCCGGCGAAGCTGTTCAAAAACGTATTGCCCGAATCGGCCACCGCCTTGTGGTTGAAGCATTTGAAGCGTAGATCTGTTATTTTACACAGATTTTTCAATAGATTAACTTTACTAACATGAACGATATACCACTCGTATCGTATCGGCATGAACTGCGTAAAAAATCACTTGCCAATTACGAGTAGAACTGGAAGGTTCTCAGTCACCAACCACAATCGAAATCGTCGTCGCTGTAGCGGCCACGAGACGTTGGGTTTGCCTTGACTTGATTGTTGCTGTCGTGCTCCAGCTTATTGTTATCCTCATCTTCATCGTCATTAGTGTCGTCCTCGTACTGCTTCCATGGGTCAGGAGAAGTCTTAGTTGGCGACAGAGATGGCGGCAACGGGCCACGCCCTGCAGCTTCAGGGTCCACAATGCTAGCCTTATCCAGAGCAACTGTAACATCACCAGTAGGTTCTTGTACTGTTGTTTGGTTTGACCCAGTTTCCTCAGGAACCAAGCTGCCAGTATCATCTTTCTTCTTCTCGTTACTTGATATTGGCGGCCTGTCCGCTGCTGGTGAAGAACTCGATCGAGGAGAAGATTCGCGACTACGACCAGAAGATATGGATTCCCTAAGCTTGGTAACCATACTTACCGATGAGGATGGTGGTGTCAATACCGTTTCGCGAGCATGCAGTTGGTTTGTCGACTTTCTACCAGACATGGCAGATCGATTCATCGCTGTAGTTCTGGTGACATTCCTCCCCAGACGAGTTCCTTTGGACGTATTTAGATCAACACAGACGTGCAGATAGTCAGGATCCACTGGACCACCCAGTTCCTTGAGCATTTCCAATGCCTCACGATGCTCTGCCTTCAAATCCGAGAGTGACACACCACCTCTCACCTTCATCTCTTTTTTTGATCGGATAGACGGCGCGATTGCAACGGCTACGCTTGAAGACGCCCTTCGACTTGCAGCTCCAGATGTGTGTTTGGTGCCTGATGAGTCTTTGTTCATGGTTGCCGTGGCACGTGCAGCTGGGGTTGAGCGCTTCTTCAAAATCCCTTTCGGTCTGGTCTTCTCGCCGTTTTTAGAGGCTGAAGAGCCGCTCGATGATGCACGAGTAGCACCTTTTGCACTCTGGTTACTCCGCGAGGAAGCTTTCGAATGGACTGCGGGCTGTGATGCTTCTTTACTGGGCTGTTCACTATTTTGCCGAGCCGAATTGTGTTTGTCTCGGTTTGATTTCATGATTTGCTTCAACTGTTCAAACTTCCTTGTAACCGAGAAATCCAGCTGCGGCACGATCGAGTTGCTATCGTCGGGAACTTCGTTGTTGTCCAGCTCACGGACAACTTGTAAAGACCTGGTGACGGGTGAATTGTGCAAATTGTTATCGTTTTCACTCTCAGATTCGTGCTCTAAGAAGTCAAGAGCGCTTCGATCAGCCGATGAAGGAATAGCATCCTGACGACGTGGCGCGTACAAATTCGAGTCGCTTTGAGTAGCAGACAGACTGCGTTTCTCGTCGGTTGTTTCTAGCAGCCTCGATAGAGATGACGTGGTCGTCATTGACGCTGGAGCAGATCCATTGTTATTCGCACGCTGTTTGCGAGCTGATAGACGCTTAGTCTTGCCGCTGTGGAGAACTGGTAGCCGATGATTCTCTCGTGATGGTGGGTATTCACTTCCTGTGCGTGCTCGTCGTGGTCCTGAACGAGATATCCCCGATGCGCTCTTAATTTCCTGGTGATACTTTGCGTCATGCTCTGCAAAAGCCTCGATTGTTGAGGCAGGATGGAACAGCCCGTCAGCAGCAGCATTGTGATCAAACTCGTCAAACATTGATCTAACACGACAAAAGTCAGCAACACCGGGTTAAAGTTCGTGATTTCTTAATGAAAGCTTACGCGCTGGTGCTGAAAGATGCTCGAGTTGGAAGCGGGAAAACATCTTGACGGACAGTATCGAGCATGCTGGTCTCGTCGTCGCTCGTCAACTGAGGTTCTGCCTTATCTTTATACGCTTCGTTATAGTTACTGCTATCTTTCGAATTATTATCGTCACCATTGAGATGTCGTCGAGCTGAGTCGGGAGCTTTCTTCTTCTCTATAGTCGAGGATAACATACAAACCGTGTTAGTGATCGAAAGCATATGCTTTGTGTCAATTTCAACAGTACACAGACTTCGTAGTTTGTTCTCTATCGCTGGATGCAACTGGTTCGACAGAGTCGATTTCACATTCGTCAATCTTTTCTTTCGAGTGACCTCAGCTTTCGCCCTGCCAAAACAATGTTTTCAACAGAGTTAGCTGACAAGACCTCACTTTCTTCCCGTGTCCTTGGAACGTACATCATCCTGGACGAGAGCAGCGAATTCTTCTTCGGATCGCCCCAGTTGTAGTCCATACTTGTAAAGCACTTCTTGGTCCCTGTTTGAATACAACCGCTATTCCAAACATAGATTTACCGAGAATTTGTTTTTATTCAGTTGAATAAAACAACAATAGCATGTTTTATTCATGTCCTGATTTTCATAGCGAATTCTACCAGTCACGAGTCAAGTGATAACCCCATCGCTTGACGTTTTTTTACTCTTCCTTTACGTCGACTGGGCTCGATTTGTTGTCGTCGTTCTCTTCAACTGATGCAGTATCCTTGTTGGATCCGATGCGAGCTTGGCTCCAGTCCGGAATTACTCCACTGTAGCCATAGTCGAAGAACAATTCGTCCCCAATTGAAATATCTTGCTTCGCGTAAATGCCGATGCGGTGGTCTCCGTTCACAAGCATGATTCTGGCGAAACATTTCGGGTCTGCTGAGTCGTGATTCGCAAACTTACTCTTGTTGCCCTTGCGGGTGGCATCCACAACGGAGTCTTCCGTCAGATCGAACAGGAAACTGATCGTCGTCTTGTCATAAACATTGCCACGTCGCTCTGCTTCGTCTTGAGACAGTAGCGAACCAGTGTATTCATACAGGAACTCGCCCTTCTTCACACTCTCCAATGCGTACGCTCCCCACCCGTGGGTTTCTGAAGCAGAAACTCCGATTTTGCGCATCTGGCCGCGCATGATATTGACATTCCCGCAGGTTTTAAGCTGCGCAATAGTTTTGCCCTTGCTTTCCTCATCAGCCATAACAACTGGAAGCTCGCTGGCACCGCACGAGGTGCAGACGTCAGGATCACATTCCCGCGCGGCAAAATAACATGGACACTCGGAAGTTCGACACTGACCCACTTCACAGTGGCATCCAGGGAAACGATTCGAGCAATCGGGAGAGCAACCACAAGACTTTTCACAGTAGTGATCACGACGCATGCACGAGCATTGCGCTGAGTCACAAGAGCCACCATCATGGTTGCATGGGACATACTCGTGATTCGCACCACGGTCCTTCATTCGCTGGGAGCGCGTGCGTCGGAGATGCTCAAAGCTGTTGCCAAGCACACCATTGGATCTCTCACGATTCCGTCCGTACGCGGCACTTCGAGATATGACAAGTTCGCGAAGATCATCGTGTGGTCTGTTGTCACGCACTTGGAGGAATTCAGCGACTTCAGCACAAGTTCGTGTGGCAATCAACTCTGCTAAAGCGCACGGGTTGGGGCCAACACATCTCTCCAGCTTGTTCAACAGAGCAATTTCTGAGCCATCCCACTTCTTGTCCTGTAATGCCTTAACGCTGATGATTTCTTCATCTTGAGCTGTATCCGATACAGGCTTAGAGCAGTGAGGTCCGCAGCGCAGATCAGCAGATAACAGCTCCGTCTTCCTATCCTGTGTCATTGATTGATAAATTCCGTCAAAGCCCAGGTACTCCGACACGTCCGATGTCTTGGAGCGAACCAGCTTTTTCAATCGGATCGCGCTCAGCTTTGAAGACGCCTTAGTGCTTGCAGCTGTTTGGGCACGCATAGACCTCCGCGTCGATGCAGCATTATCAGCAGCTGGGTCTTTTGGTCTATCCTCGTTGTCAGTGCTGTCCACAGCGGGTGCCTGCTCGGACATTGGTTCGTCCGATTCCGGAGTTTGTTCATCATCATCTGCATCATCCTGCTCTTCCTCCTCTGCCAGCTCCTCTGCCAATTGCTCTTCTTCAACACGTCGCCACAACTTTGCAGAAGCCTTCACTACCGGATAGCTTGGGTCGATACGAACGACACGAACAGGCTGCTCACGGCCATGGTTTCGACAACTGTACGTACAACAGCGGCGGCAGAAGAAATCCTGATACTTAACCACGAGCTCTCTGAATTCCTTCGATGGAGCTTTTCGCACCCCTGTATCGCCATTTTCCTGGAGGTGATTCAATAGTACATGTGCTGGGAGCGGCTGTAAACGTCCACGAAGATGTGCACCAGTTCGTGTTGCCAAGCACTCCTCGAGAAGTGTGGTAATTGTCCTACTACTGCTTTGCTGTGCTTCCAGCTCCTTCAAATGTTTCTTGTACAATCTCTCCCGAGTAACGCGTTCAAAAATATCGGAATAGTTGGCAAATGGCTGCGAGAAGGCTCCACATCGCTGAAGCGCCTCAAATACAGCCTGATCCCCTCCGCACGCATTCACCACGTACCGCAATACGTACTCGTTGACCTCGTTATCCATTCCTACAAGGGTATCCTTGCAAACTTCCATGCTGGAGAACTGTGGCGCCTTATTCTTGGCGCTATTGGCACTGAAATAAGGCACAAAACGAATAATTGGATCATCTTCCACACGATGAGTTCCACATGAGAGTATACACGTCGTAGAGCGCGGAATTCCAGCAATCTTGCTGAGATACCTCACCACTTCGGGGTAAACTTGTTCAGAATGATCGGCCTCGGTTCTACCAAGCGAATAATGAGGACGAAGAACTCCTTCCGGCGCGAATTCGTCGTCTCGGAGAAGTCTCCGCGCAGCAATCTTCTCTAACCGTGAAATCTGCAACGGTAGTCCTGTCGACATCATAATAATTAGCAAATACCATAACATCCTACACTAAAATCAATTCCTTACCGGTAATTGTGCACGCTTTTTCACGTATCACTGGTCGTTGCTCTAGATACGCCGCGATCTGTTGTCGAGTATTGCCAATAATTCTATTGGCACGAGCAACATGGCACTTCTTGATCATCGGCGTGGCTTCTTCTATCAATTGTTTGACTCGCTCCTCCACCTGCAGCTCCTCTTTAGCTTCTCCACGGGTCCCGGACATCATCGTTAGGGGCTTGGACGTTAAGAATTCAGTCGACATTGCACATTTCTCCTTCAGCTCGTCGCTAAAACCCTCCAATGGGGCGTCAAACTTCAGTGCAAAAGGTTCCAAAATGCCGTCTCGGTCAGGTAGCAGATTTACCGGAGCCTCGGCGAATTTAAGGTTACGCCATGCTGTTGAGTGCAGCGTGGCGTCCTGGATGGCGTCTTCATCCCGAGCGAAGCGACGTTTGCGCTGCGTATGCGCTCCATCTGCCTCCAAATTGACAAGCGATACACCGCCTCGAAGTGGCAGCTGCGGTCCGCCGTCTGGGGAGCGTGGACTCATGTTGCGGCGCAGCTTCTGGCGCTTAGTGCGTCGTTCCTCGGCGCGTTTCTTCTTGGAGCTCTTGGCGGGGGATTCGACCGTCTCGCCCTTGCGTAGCTGCGTGGGGGAAGAGAGCTGGGTGCGGCTCTTCTCGTAATTGATACGCTCCATCTCGCGCTCCTGCGCCATCACTTCCGAAAAAAGCACACGCGTCTCAGTCTTGCGATGCGTGCGACGCGGCTCCGCCGACGACTCGCGACTGCGCTTACGGCTATCGGAGGACGCGGCGCCGTCCGACATGTCGGCGTCCGGAGCCTTCATGTGCGCCTTACAATCACTCTCCAATGCGGAACTGAGCCACTGGCGGGAAAATGGATCGCCACAACTGATGATCGATTTGGAAAGGTAATATTTCAGAGAGAGACATCTGGAATTAGAGTTTTGTAAGCTGATTGGATAATAGAAGTATGTCTTATATGATTAAGGACACAGCGTCAGTTTTAGCGTTAGAAAGTAATATGAGGATGGCATTGCGCGCACTTGGACGCCGCCATGACTGCATGCGTTCGGCGCGGCGGTGGCTGAGCGCGGAGCGTAAGGTGCGGCCTGCGCTTCGACTGGAGTCGGGTGCCTGCGGACTGCCACACCCGCAGAAGCGTGCTACGGGCGGAGAAGACGCCTGGTTTATCAGCGGCAACACAGTGGGTGTCGCGGACGGCGTCGGTGGCTGGGCGCGCAAGGTAATTGACTATGCATATATTTTTTGTATGTATGTTGTATTAAGCTGGTTATGTGATCAGGGCATCGACTCGGGCGAGTACTCGCGTACGCTGATGAACTCGGCCAAGCGGACGGTGACTGCCTCGGATAAGACACCCACCCCGCTGCAAGTGCTAACGGTAGCACATCGCAGCGCGCAGGTGAGAAGAGTATGATCTGATGTGGTGAAATACTGGCTCTGATATGAGGATCTTTGACAGTGTCCGGGCAGCTCGACGGCGTGCATCGTGCAGCTGAAAGGTGATGAACTGTGCTATTCGTATATTTTTTTCTTGTAGTTATTGACTTGAATTTACTGTGCGGACAGATTTGTCGTTGCAGGCGATCAATTTAGGCGACTCGGGTTTCCTACTGTGTCGGTTGCAGCCAGACAAGGCAGAGGGAGGTGCGCTGAGGTGGCAGGTCGTGCATGAGACGCCTAACCAGTGCCACTACTTCAACTGCCCGTATCAGCTCGGCTTCGGTGCAAACGGAGACAAGGTCCGTGCTAGTTGGCTTAGCTTAACCTTGTGTATGATGCTGAACTGACGTGATGCGTGCTGTATATTTGCAATTGTAGCCTGAGATGGGCGAAGTGTACGACCTCGAGACACAAGAAGGCGACGTGATCGTGTTGGGCACCGACGGACTGTATGTTCTTCTTGTACATGTAATGCTTTGGCTGGATGGAATGATGGTTGCTTATCTGTTCGACTGTCGTTTCTACCTTACAGCTTTGATAATTTGTTTCCGAAGCAGATTGCAAGTCTTCTCGACACGGTATTGCCGTCCACGCCGGAACTTGACCACCACAGCATGGAGAAGGTGGCTTCATGCATTGCCCACACAGCGCATAAAGCTGCGAAAGGAACGAAATCCAAGACCCCTTTCGCAGTGGCGGCACAACAAGCAGGATACGAATATCTCGGTGGAAAGATGGACGATATCACTGTCGTTACCAGTCTGGTGACTTCCGATGGAACTTGAAGGGTCTTAGCGAGACTGGTGTTATTGCATAGCGCGAAACAATACGCTAATTTCCGTCATCGACTCCGTGAACGCATGATTGCGAGGATGGATGCTTAGCGCAACAACCTTAATCAGTAGGAACAAGTTGTTCCACAAAGAAACTGTTGATAACACTGGTGCTTGGGATTCGGACTATGGAAGGGCTTTCGCTAGGACCCTAGGGAATCAGTTTCGCAGAATAAAAAGTGCCGACTGAGGGACAATTATGAATCTACCGTCGCGTTAAATATCTGGCCATTCTTTTTCTACATAACACGGGTACAATATTGCGAAGCAATATACTTCAATACAAGTACTACAGCAGTACCATTGCAGTGGATCCAACAGTCCTGGTATCTACTAGTAGGTCGGGACAGGGTCTGATGATCCCAAATAATATTATTATTCGCAGTTCGAAGAACTGTTGTTATTGTGAGTTCTACTCAAAACTGGATTGCACGATTGGTTAATCGCCCACACTCAATGACCCATGCAATCGTTCAGCCTATCATAAATCATAAGGAAACATTACCGAAGATAGGTTTCAATTGCGCGCTGCAAAGCAGGGCGCACCAGCAACGTTTCCTGCATCAGCACGGCAATGGATCCTCAGTCTCACGTGTCGCTTGGGGCCGCAAGAGGCTTTCGATCAGCTGACACTTCGCCGGCGAATAGTGCGCGGAATGGCGCTCGCACGCGTGCATCGCCACATTCAGCTCGTGTATCGCCGTACCCTGAGCGCATTCGAACACCAACGGGAACACCACCACCTCCAGGACCAATACGACGGCGGACACCACCAGCAGTAACTGCCAGTGCACGCTCGAATTCAATTCCAGCGCCATCTACATCTCAACAGCCTACTCTCGGGGCAG